GCCCACATGCCCCAGGTATAGTTATGGGGGCGTGGCATCCTTTCCTCAATAGCACTCACTGGTTCATAGAAGCAAGAGCTGCTGGCACTAGACTGGACAGTCATTGTTTCTCTTGATTCTTGCAACAAGCCTGGCTCTCAGGTAGAGAGGCCACGAAGTCCTAAGCGGAAGGGCTGAGACTACTAGATCCCTGGCTGCTGGATAGTAACCTCGTCACCACAGAGCTGCTCTGCCTGCCAGTTGCTGGCAGCCTTTCCTCCCAGGCTGAGAGATTACAGAGGACAGTTTTGTGGGGGGCCTGACTCCTACCTTACACTGTAATGAAGAAGGACCCCTCATCTCCAGGAGGGAAGATGATTTGAAAAGCACCATCCACCCCTCTCTGGACCTGACTTTATTGGAATTCTACCTGCTAGTAGAGTTTGGGAGAGGCACTCTGTGGGATACCGGGAACCTGCCATCTCTGTCTGCCTCACCTCTATACTTGCTACCACAGAGAGTACAAACCACTCAGCTCCCAGAAGTCCTCTGAGGAAGAGCAGCCTGGAAGGAGTACCTTCTAGAAGCAGGCCTTAAGGTACCTCCCACCCAAGGATTTGGCAGATAGCCTGTGGGGGCTCTTAGGGTCAAATCCCATCAATCCTGGTAAGAATACATTTCTAAAATGCCCCCCCAAGTCCTCAGAGGTTCCCCATCAACAAGCACCTACCCAAGTCAGCTCTCTGTCTTCTCCAGGTCCATATCATTCTCTCATCATCTCACCCAGCTTAACACTCCTCACACATGGGTCTTCTAGACACAAGCTACTTAGGGCTCTTCCCTGCTCCTGAGCTCTGAGCTACTATACTTTGTGGACTCTACCTCCCCATTCTCCAAGTGCCTCCTCCACCAGGAAGCTCTCCCTGGCCACCACCCCACATTATGCTGCCTGTTCTGCCAACTGCTGCAGCGCTCCTCGGAACGGCTTCACATTTGCCCCACTTCCATGGTTCTTCAACAATGTGTGTTGGTTTCGCAAAAAAAAAAAAAAAAAGACACAAAATAGAACAATGACCATCCTAACTCTGGCTGTGATGGACTGAGTCCCCAAGGCTAGGTGCAAGGCTGCACTTAAGCAGGTTTTTGAGAATACCGAGTGTGGGGCCTGGCACACATTTGGAATTAACTTCCTCAGACATGCTCAAATTGTGTGGGAGAGGACAAGCATGTGGGGAAACCTTTCTGGAGACTACTTGCATTATATATTCAGGACCTTAGAGAAACGCAGCCTTCTGTGTGTTTAAATTGTTGAGAATTCATTCTAAGAAGCAGTTGCAGATGTGCTCAGAGGTTTGGTTGCAGGGAGGCTGCGCAGCCGTGATAGTAGGGCTAGATGATAACTGTGCTAGATTTCTTCAGTTGTAAAGTGGTGATAAAAATAGCACCTTAGGTTCTGGGGAGATGGCTCAGTGCTGGGGAGACAGAGGCATGGGGGTTCATTATGCAAAGGGCAGCCAGCCTAGTCTAATCAGCAAGCTTCAGACCAACAGACCTTGTTAAAAAAAAAAAAATCAAGGACTCATGAGGAATGAAACCAGAGGTTGACCTCCAGCCTTCGCATGCATGTGTATACGCATGTGCCTACAGGAACATACACACACATGCGTAATAGCACGCTATGGGTGCTGTGAGGGTGAGTAAGTCAAGGGTTAACGTGTAAAGCATGTGATCCACATGGACACACACAGACACTAGCACCTTACCTGTGTAAGTGAGGCATTAACACATGTAAAGCACTTCACAGGTGCCAGGTGTACCTACCCTCCCTGCTATTGTTGTGTTTGAATTAAAGTCTCAATGCGGCCAATATTTGGGCTGTTAGCTCTGCCACCATCCTGGTTCCCAATGTCCCTCCTCACAGTTTCCAAATCAGAAGTGCCCAATGTAGAGGCAGCACCAGGATCTCCCAGGATCTATATATTCCATACATTACTACTGTATGAGAACCACATAACCCACACACTACCATCCCCCACACCAAGAAGCCACTCAACAATGCTGGAAACAAGACTAACATCTAACAACCAAGGAACAAGGCTAAATTCACTGTAAAGTACACAGATGTTCAGAAAAAAAATACTGAAATTTAGGCTTGCCTTCTCCAGCTTATGATGTTACTAAGAGATTTTCTTTTATCTTTTTTAACTTCTTCAAAAGAACACACACCCCTTTTGAGGCAAGGATGGGGAAAAAACTAATTCTCCCAAAGAAAATACAAGCTACCTTAGTTTGCTTCCATTTGTAGTGAGAGATTGTGTCTACCTTTTATCTGTCTACCACCGCATCTGACACAGTCTCTGTACATAAAAGCCCAATCATGAACAGAGCTCTAGCCTGGCAGTTTTGTTGCATCTGCCAGGCCAAGGCATTCAGTATAGGGTATAGAAAAGGCCAGCCAGCAAGGAAAACAATGTGGGGGTTGGAGTACATTTACTCTGTAGCTTAGTCAGTGGGTGACCTGTTTGTGGGGCTGGCAGATGTCAAAGAGTGACCTTAAGGGGAGAAGGCAGTGGGATCCTGGGCTCCAGGGCTCCAGCCACAGGTGTGCATTAGATCAATTACCTGGGGAGCATGTGGTAGAGGGGCCCAGGGCCACCTGAGCATCAGCTATAGGCTACTTTGACACCTGAGCTTGGCTGTCTGAGGGGGGTTTAAGTGCAGTCAGATCTTAATATGATTAGCCCCACAATTTTCATTCTGGCCATGCTCTGGAAACCCCCCACCCCCCAACCATGATGACTCCAACAGCAGCACATGCAGAGTCAGGATACACCAGGGAATGGGCAGGGTCGGAGGGCATGTTTCAGTCAGAAAAGGACCGCCCACCCAATGCAAGGGTCAAGGCTTGGGTTAGCAGAGCATGTGAAATGTACTTCAGAGAATTGTATGACTAAACATGCTAAGATTAGGCACGTAACATGTCTGATGTCAAGACCCTTTCAAGACCCGGAAGAGGAGGCTGCTGATGTGTCCACATCACAGCTGAAGAGACTGAAGCATGGAGGTTGGTTAGCTAGCTGCTCCCAGGTAACTCTGGAAGGGTTGCGCTGGGACACAAGCCCAAATGTGACTCGGGTCTATTCTCTCTCTACCTCACTCCCCAAAAGAACTCCTCAGTTCGTTCTATCAAGAGGTGGGAGCTGGAGTAGGGTTGGGGTTTGAATGAACATCAAGTTGCTCCCTAATTCTGCCCTTGCAGGCAGCACTGTGGCAGAGAGGCTTGTTACCCTGCAAGGTGAACGTGGTTGGTGCCGTGTGCACACCATCAGCACCAATTCTTGCAGGGCTGCCTCCTAGGCTCAGTGCCCCATGGGGGCTGCTCCGTGTTCGTTCACTAGGTAACTGGGAGTGGCAGATGAAACCTGCCACATCCCGTGCTGCCCCATTCCCTGGGTGACTGGAGATGGTGGGCTTTATGCCTGTCTTCTATTCAGTGGGGACAGTAATCTCTAACCTACACTGGCAAGACTGGCGCCACGAGGGGAATGCATATTCAAGAGCTCATAGCTCTGGCTCTGGCTTAACTTCCCAGCAGCCTCGGTGGCTTCGAGTTTCTCCTTCCCCCCTAGCCTGTGGGGGGGGGGGAGGGTAAGGTGTGGGGGGGGGGGGGGGGGGGACCTGAGGGCCAAGAGGGGCATCCCTGGCTTCTGTGATGATCCTGCGGTGGGAATATCCCTGGGTCGAATTTGGGGAGCCCGAGGATACTATCCACAAACCATCCCACAGTTGCTCCTCATGCAGGGAGGATACAACCTTCTTCTTAGAATGGCTCCCGCAGAGGCTTTTCTTCCCGTGTGGAGCTGATGGTAAGGCTGGCTCCGGATGGAGCCCGGGAAAGGTGGAGCTCCTCCCCCTGCAGTCTCTCGGAAGGGCGAGGCATTGCGTGCTCGGGTTGGGGACCCTGGCAGGCGGCGAACTCGTCACCGCACGCCCACGGCCTTCCTGCGGTGGGAGGCTAATTGCATCCCCGGTCACGCGGTCCTCCAGCACTCGCGTGGCCCACCGCTTCCTCCTGCCTGCGCTCAGAGTGTTCTCAGCATGCCGATGGCAAGGACCAGTGGCCCCAGGAGCTCGGCTGTCACCTGCTTCTGCCATTGCACAGATATGCTACTTCCTCTGTGTCACTTTCCCTGGGTACAACAAATGAACAACTCATGGGATTGCTTTTACTCAAGTCTGATGGAATGTGCCGGCAGCATACTCAATCTCTGGGCTCCCTTCCCCTTTCAGACTGCAGGATTTGTGTACAGAGCCAAACCAATGGGTCAGACTGAGGACCAAGGTCCTGCTTGAACAGCGACAAATTCATACTCCTACAGGACACATGAGAAGGAACTGTCCCTAGGCTGAGTGACATCATCATTCCCCTGAGGGGGAGGTGACAGCACAAAAGTCATCTTTATAATGATGCCACACACACATACATTCTGCCAGCTCAAAGAGGGCTGATTGGAAAAGTCTGGTTTCTGTTGTACTGGCTACAAGTGCTGCCTGCCTCATCTGCTTCCTAGTTGGGTTCTCTCAAACTGCCCAACTCCCAAATTATACAAAGCCAGTATAGTCCAAAACTAGGTTCTGATCGCAGGCAGGGAAGTGCTTTTGTAACTGACCCAGCTGGGGGCGGCACCATTAGCGTTCTGCCCTGATAAACATCGGAGTCATTTGCCTACCAGCTCCTATCTAAGAATGGTTGCTAGTGGCTCAAATCAGCAGGCATTTTTCATATATACTGTGTGTGTGTGTGTGTGTGTGTGTGTGTGTGTGTGTGTGTGTGTGTGTGTGTGTATTTCAGAAGAGAAAAATGGGAACCCAGGGGAAAGGGCAGTTGTGAACTAGTCCTTTGGTGGGAGCTTGTAGGTGGAATCACACATAAGGATTTAAACAAACAGAATGCATCACTATGGAAACAACTGGTTTTTTTCAAAGGAACCGTTAAAAAATAAAGAAGTCAAGACTTCATATTCAACACTCCAAGTGTTTATGACCAGAAAAGGCAAAGTGGGTCTTAGATACTCTGCAGCCAAGAAAAAGCTGCCAGAACTCAAGGAAGAAATATTCCCAACAGAGCAGGAACCCATCATCTGTCAGGCTTTCCCCTGGAACCCTCAGAGGGGAGCATTCTGCTCACTGCAGGCGTACTTAACTCTTTCAGGGGTGCTAGACATGGTTCAGCAGCCTGGGCTCTTTACTGATGGGATCCAGACAGACCTGCCATGCACCAGAGCAGAGTCAAGGCAGTGGAGGTAGAGAAAGGAGTCTAGAGGACATTCATGTATGAACTGTGACCCAAATGTGTTTGAGGTCATCAGCTGGGCTAGTGGATCTGGACCACAGCAGAAGCCCATTTCCGCACTGAGTGTCACATTGTTCTCTCATGTGCCTGGAGGCGAGTTCCATTTCTGGGGTAAAGCCCAGCGCACCTGCTCTCTGGAGAAGTGATGCTGTTATGATGCCTAACACTTAGTTTGGACATCATCAGGATTCCCTCCTTCTGTATTTAAGAGATGACAGAAGAAACAGTAGGGAAAAATTCTCCCATCTGTGAAAGTTCTGAGGCATATCTGCTTGGCTATGGTTAGGAACTACTTGCTAGGGACTGTCTCTAAATTCACTGCACCCAGCCCCAGCCAAAATGAGTTTCCCCAGTTTAATGACACTGCAAGCTCAGTGGGCCACAGCTTCTGACAAGATGTTCATGTTGGCTGAGGAGAAATGGGATGCAGGCATCTGCCCTGATGCACAAGAAATAAGGGGACACACAGGCGGCCTTCAGCTGGGTATGGCCAGCTCTGCTGGAGCAAGGGCCTCAGAGGATTCCACGTCAGTTCAGCATGGATGAGAAAGGGGACAGGACACTAGCTTTGGAAATAGCCTTTGAAATTAGTCTCTGCCACTAAAGTCCCACTAAAATACTTCTTAGGGACTCAGACTCAGCTTCCTGTCTCCACAGCAAAATTATTATGGGGAAGATGAGTGACAATAGAAATTCATAGGACAGGGTCTGCAGGCAACCAAAGCTCACAGAGGGCAACTAAAACAAAACCTGTTTCTCATGCTCAGCTACATATTCACTGGCTCTGTGTTTTGTGTGCTTTGTGTCAGCTTTGCCTCAGTTCTGTCAGGGCAGGGTCTGCAAAAGGCTGGTGTGATGACTGAACATCATCATTCCTATCTATACCAAAACTCTCTAGTTTTGGTCTATACCAAGAACCAGCTTGACACTTCAGAAGGCACAGGGGCCTAGTTGGGGAAACAGCTGGCACTGGTTGCACATGGGAGTCTACAGTAAGGACAAGAAAAAGCAGCTGTGACTCTTTGCCTATGAAACTCAGGTGGAGACCCAGCCTGTGTGGTTGGGCAGGATGGTGTTGAGTACAGAGTGTGGAGCTGCCGGGTGGCTGGAAGACCTGGAGCCAACAGTCAGTCTTTTTATAATGAAGGGAGGGGGAATTTCCAGCCTCAGTGATCAAATTCCTAATCTAAGCCGAGTGTACCAGGCTCTCTTAGCTTTCACTGGAGAATGGCTAGGAAATAGAGGGCTTAGGCTCATGGTGATTCATACTGCCACCTAGGAAGGCTTAGTACAATGCTCAAATTCTAACACAGCCTTTAGAATTTCTTACAAAAGGATCTATACACATTTTAAAGAACCAGACTCTGATACAGGAACTAGGGAGCTTATGGGGAGCACAGTCTGGCCAGGCCAGTTCCATCTGAGCCCTGAGTAAGCCTGCAGGCCTCTGGCCCCTTTCCATGTCACGGGATCATCCATGAGGTGGAAACAGAATAAAAACCAAGACAGTAAATTTTCCTCCCAGGATGAGAGAAACTCTAACCCTGTGTCCTACTTTCATCCACCGACACTCTTCCTCGGGGCTTGAGTACGTAGCTCCGAAGCCTAGGTCAAGGAGTCATGTGTTTTTATGATGCAACATGGGGCAGCTACCCTATTCTGTTTTGGAAACCTTGGTGACATCACAGGCTAACCCCTGAACTTGGTCAGTCAGTAAAAGGGAACGCTGAGTCAGAAGAGCCTTAGTCACAGGCTTCTGAAATCTAAGGTAGAAGAACCATGAGGTCATCCAGGCTATTCCCTGCAGGGCTGCTCAGATTCTATCTGGCTTGGGTTTAAATGACTCAAGGAATTCTCTAGGGGAAGCTAATCTATTGGAACAGCTGTTACTCAGAGGACATTTGCTGTTCTTCAACCAAAATCAGCCTGGTTCCCTGACATCCAGTTATTCCCTGTTTCCAGGAGACTGCATTGTCTTTCCAGGTAGGACTGCCTGGGGTTTAGGCAGGAGCATGCTGCCTTCTCTTTATTCAGAGGCCTGTAACCCAAGTGTGCCCCAGGAAGACTGACAGCTGGGAGATTCAGCTGAATAAACAGTGTCCCTGAACACATAGCTTTCCATTACAATAACACATAAGCCAAGATGTTAAGGAGTCAAGGAAGACTTCAACAAAGCCCAGAGAAGCCACCTCTGTTTGGGTTTCAGCAGCTGTCTGCCTGTGGAAGGCTCCAGAGTCACTGACATGTATTTATATCTCCATTTTGCTAACGTCATAAGGAACAAACATGTTCAGATCTTCCCCAGAGGCACAAAGCCATTTGTATTTCTTCAAATTACAGGGGGGGGGAGGGCAGGAGGAAAAGAGCTGATGGACCAAATCATCTGTGAGCAGTCACAGCAGTGTTTAGTTTGCCTAATGATAACCCTTGATTTAGAGATCTGTCTCAAAGTAACTGTGCCCTTAGTAAACATGTTTGCAACACGAAGCGCTGGTGGCTCTCATTCAGAAGGACAAGGACCTGGGAGGCAGACTCCACAATTTCCAAACAGCCACATCAGGAGAGTGCATGGAGCAGCCTCTAAAAGTGCTTCCAGGAGTGTGGGAGAGGGGCTGCTAGGTGCACAGCCCCCACCTCAGTGATAAACTTTGCAGACACGTCCCATCACCAGGATGCTCCTCTGGGGTCTGGATAAATGGTCCGAAAGGTTAGGTTTACTCTTGGTTCTCTGGAGTGGTATTCCTTGGGCACTCGGTGCTAAATGAAAATATTAGTAGTTGTCCAGCATAAATATACATGCAGTTTTTTAGCTCAACGTGATTTACAACTTATTTATGAAGATATGGAAATAATCCCATTTTATCCCCCTTTAAATGAGCAACATTCAGTGTTCTACAGGCCTGTGGGAAGAGGTCTCCTCCTCTGAAACAAAATTCCCCAATCCCAGCAGCCTGTGGCAGTGCTCTGGCAGCAAGGCACCTGTTGCTTCTACTCTAAATGCCTGTATCTAATGTGACCACACCTATATTGACCTAGAATAGTTGCAGTGCTGTGAGGCCCAAGGCGACAGTCTGTGATTTTTACAAGTAAATTAGTGCAGTGGCTGGTGGCTGCAATAGCAGCACGGATGTGGATACATCCATCACTACAAAAACTTCAACCAGAAATCTCTGCTGAGAGGTCTATTTTGACTGAATCCTGTCCTATGACATCATTTTACTGCTATTTGCTCAGCATAAGCACTTGCTTCCCTCCTTTGGTGTACTTTGAAATGACTACTCCTTAGCCAGGGAAGAAGCTGCCTCCAGAGAGTGAATTGGAGTACTTTCAAGTCCTCACCTGCCAGTCCGCTTGTGTAGCTCCTTCCATGATTAGCAAGGTCCCATGATCCAGTGGTATCTTCACTCTTTCCACGTATGTATAGTCTCCATTCTCTTCCTAGAAGACAGCAGCCATCCCGCTGAAGTTTTTGTTTATATGGTCAAGAAGCAAGAGAACCTGGAGGCAGTCACTCCTCAGCCAGGCTGTGGGAGCTTGCAGAATGCTCTGTCCCTTGACAGCCTCCTTGGCCTTAGGCCAGTTATTTCACCTCTCTATTAATATACTTATTTGTAACATGGGGATAAAGGTAAAAGTAGTAGTATCTGCTACACAGGGCCGATCTGTGCCTCAGATGATGTGTGTAAATGACTTGGGGACCAGCAATAGGAAGATCTGTGAAGAGTTAGTGTGGTTACTGTTCCTCAGAAAAGCCCACCCTGACCTAGTAGGGAGGACATGACTCACCTACCCTTGCTATACAGTGTTATGACCCAACATAATGGGAGGAAAATGGCCTTTGACCAAGGCATGCTTCACCTGGCAATAATATGCTAATTTACTAATTGCTAATTACTTTAGAACAAAGTTTCTCAACTCTTCCTAACACTGTGACCCTTTAGTACAGTTCCTCATGTTATGGTGACCCCAAACCATAAAATTATTTTTGTTGCTATTCATAATTGTAATTTTGCTATTGTTAGGAATAGTAATATAAATATCTGTGTTTTCTGATGGTCTTAGGTGACCCCCCCCATGAAAGGATCATCTGACACCCCCAGAGGGTTTGAGACCCACAGGTGAAGAGCTACTGTTTTAGAACTAACCCCTTAGCTCTCCTCTTGGCTAAGGTGTTTGGGAGATGTATTTCTGTCTCGTTCCAAACTAATTCTCTCAATAGCAGGAATTCCTCAAAGGAGCTCTGGCTTGACTAGATCAGTGCTGTCAATGAATCCTCGCTGCTTGATGTTTGTGCTTTGAACACTGAGAGCACACTGGATAGCTCAGCTTGGTGCCTGACACTGTCACAAACACACATCTGCAAAGAGGTCAACAGGTGGTTTGCTCCTCTTCAAGCTGCTGGTGCAATGAACATCTTCTTGGCTTCCTGGCTCAGCCACCAAGAGCTCCCTGAGTGAGAATGGGACAGACCTGAACTTTCTGGTTTCTTCACTTCCACTGTGGGCAGAGCCAATGGGCCCATCTGTCCAACTGCCTCCCTTCCCATGCAACGGTTACATTTGGGTTACTGCAGGATTTACTGTAGTGCGAGTCTGTTTATGTTTATTACTGCAGGGGTCTTTCTGAGAACTTAACTGTTTACAATGATTTCCCCAGGAAAATCTAAAATCAAAACAATACTGAACTTGTATAAACAGTCTACGTTCCAGGGCCCAACCCTTGGCAGTGACTTTGTCAAGGACAGCCAGAATTTTTACAGACAGAAGACACAAGCAATGTTTGAAACAATTTTTGATTGGTTGGCTGGTTTTGTTTTGTGTCTTCTGTCACCTTTCCTCTTCCAGGAATAAGTAAGCAGCAAACACTGACCTCTGACTGCTCAGCCGACCAGAGAGCACACTGGGAAGGGATCCTGCCTATGGAGGCCCATGCCCACCTCCACACTCACCTGCACTTCAGAAGGCAAAAGCTGGTGCTTGGAAAGAGTATGCCAGACAGAGGAGATGAATGCCTTGCTAAGGAAAGACAGCAAAAGAGAGGGTCCGTCCTTTGTGACATCAGAGGGCTATCAAGGCTTAACACAGAATGTAAGGCTGGTCAGATCAAGATAAAAGTTGGCCGGAGGCAGAAGGATCTCTCCTGCTCACTACAGAATCAGTGAGGGCAACATGGTATGAACCTGTAAATTGCATAAAGACTATGATGAGAGTGTGAAATGACACTCAGAGGAAAGACTTCACTACCACACAAGGGCAATTCTGAGACCTTTCAGAACATCCACAAGACTGTGGGAGATAAGAGGTGCTGAAAGCAATGAGGGGGGTGCTGAAAGCAATGGGGAGCGGGTGAGCACTGTAATTCCATCTAGAACCATGAAGCAGGAATGCACCTGAGAGTCCAAAGAGGATTCCACATGCAAGAGGCTACTAGCATTGGCATTGACGGAAACAAGCTCAACAGATGCACTCTCCAATTGTTACTCTTTAAAATCTGAATTTTTCAAGTGAAAGAAAATTTCAGGCATATTCTGAACACATAATATTCAGCATAGCCACTAGCCACACCAAAAGGCAGATGCTTGAGGATGAGCATTCATGTGGTCCTTAGGGGCGGCGGGCTTTGATGTCTCTTTTGCTCAAGCTTCCCTCAGTGTGACTGTCAGTCCACTTCAGCTTCCTGTTGCCTGCAAGATTTAGGACTCTCAGCTCCAGCAGCACATCTCCATGCTCCCTATCATGATGATAATGAATGGATTGAACCTCTAGAAACCTTAAGCCAGCCACCTCAATTAAATAATTTCTTTCTAATAGAGCCATAGAGAATCCTAACTTAGGACATCAAGGGAGCCTCCCAACAAGACAGAACTCATTAATGGACCCATCTCTCAAGGAAGAGCAGCAGCTCAGAGGAAACAGATGGAAGGCCAGGGGGGGAACTCCTGCTATGTGCAAAAGCTGGGTGATATGGGGAGCAGGGGCCACACTGTCAGAGAAGCTCATTCATGACTACCAATGGCTACATCACCTCTCTGACCCTCTGTTGTACCCAGGCAAGGCAACTCTCTCTCTCTCTCTCTCTCTCTCTCTCCCCCCTTCTCTCCTCCAC